TCGAATAATAAGAAGAAATGCTTATCAGCAAGTGTCGGAATTTGATAGAGGCAGGATCATTGCCTATCGAAAGTATGGATTATCGTTCCGTGATATCGCCTGTCGCACTCTGGTCGACATAAAACTTGGGAATATGAAGCAGTGGGTTGCTGAAGGTCATACTGAATGGCATGCAGTATCTCAACGCCCTACTATGAATAATGCCCGCGAGGACAGATATATTCTGAGGTCAGCCCTGCAAAAGCGTACAACCACATCATGGACCATTAGTCAGAAAACAGGCATATTTTCAACACATCTAGTATCTGCTTGGACTGTGCGTCGACGTTTGCAGCAGCGTGGACAATCAGCATGGTGACCATTACTTCGGTATCCCTTGGCAGAGCTCCACTCTTGAATATGGATATAGTATTAGTGTAGTGTATTGCGTTTAATCATCGTAATAAATGTTGCATGTGAACTTCGCTTAATCCTTGAAAAATTACCGACCACAAAAGCATCTTGCAACTACACCTCTGGATACTTGGAGCTTTCATGATCGCTCATCTACATCTCTTGGAGCAAAATCACTGAGGACTTGACAGCTAAAATTGGTCAGTAAGCCTTTGAACTACTTATTCTTTGTATCAATTTTTGAAAACGGAACATAATGGATGATTTAGTAAAAGAGAAAAAGAAACATGCTATTGTACGTAGTACAGTTACCACACTTCTAAATAAATCTGAGAAACTATTATCGGAAGAAATGTGTAAAGAACATCTAGAAGATTTAAATTCATCACATGAATTATTAATTGAATACCATGAAAAACTTAAAAGTCTTGACTCAAAGATTGATGCTCTTATAAATGATGAAAAAGAATATGATAACGAACTACTTGCATGTGAAGAGTATGATGAAAAAATAATAACATTTAAAGCTAAGATTGTTAGTAAAATAAAAATAATTAACAGTAGTGAAGTTGTTGAAAGAAGTGTACTTGCAACTAGTAATGTAATAGTAGTACTCTGAATGGTAACAATGTTGTTACAAGTAGTGCTTTAGTAAAGTTACCTAAATTTAATATTGAAACATTTGCTGGTGATCCCAGTAAATGGCCCGATTTTTTTAAAATTCCTATGATAATGCTATTCACTCTAATCCGAGTTTATCTAAAACAGACAAGTTTATGTATTTGAAAAGTTTATTATCTGGGTCTGCATATAATTGTGTATCTGCATTGCATCCAATAGTCAAAATGAATTTGATCTTACTAAATTTTCATCCTGGAATAAGCTCAAGTGTGTAGTGGCATGGTGTCTTAGATCTGTGAAAAATGCCAGTTCTTCAACATTAAAAGTTAAAGGAGTTTTAACTGTTCCTGAACTCAACAGAGCTTCAGACATTATTGTGTGTTTAGTCCAAGAAAGTGAATTTAAAGCCGAAATCTCGGCATTAAGAGCAGGGAAAAACATCAGCTCTAACAGCAGAATTATCTCCTTGAATCCCTTCTTAGATAATGAAAATATTCTTCGCATTGGAGGAAGGCTAAGCAATGCTAATATACCTGAAAATCGAAAGCACCAGGCAATTCTTCCTAAGAAGCATCACGTGACTGAATTAATAATTAAGTATTTTCATGAAGCTCATCTTCATGGAGGAACTTCACTTACAATTTCGGCTATCCAACAGAAATATTGGACTGTAGAGATGCAGTACACAAAGTTATTAGAAACTGCATGGAATGCTTCAGATATCGTACAAATACAGCATCACAAATAATGGCTGATCTTCCGGCATCTCGAGTTGTGCCCAGCAGAGTTTTTCTAGAGTAGGCCTTGATTATGCAGTGCCATTCCTTGTGAAACCCCGCAAGGGTAGAGGAGTGAAGCCACTCAAGTGCTACGTATGCTTGTTCATATGTTTTGCCACAAAAGCAGTACACTTGGAGGTTGTGAGTGATCTCTCTTCAGAAACCTTTTTGGCAGCATTGGTTCGTAGCCCATCGAAACAAACCGCAAGAGATGTTTCCTGATCAAGGGACTAATTTTGTTGGTGCAAATCATGAATTGAAAAGAATTGTGGCATCCATTTTATCATCAGAAAAATTTCAAAACCAATTAACACAAGAAAACATTGTTTGGAAATTCAATGCTCCCTCTGCTCCACATTTCGGAAGTCTTTGGGAGAACGGTATTATGCAAATGAAAAATCACTTAAAACGTACAATAAGAGTTAAACTGCTCACATCTAAAGAATTTCTCACTTTGATAACTCAAACTGAAGCTTGTCTGAATTCCACACCTATAGTGATGATTTCCAGTGATCCCAATGACTTAAGTACTTTAACACCTGGTCACTTGCTTATTGGAACCACACTAACAACTATTCCTGAACTAAATGTGATTGATGATAAGGTAACGTCTGTTAAACATTGGAAACTGATTCAGTAACTTTTTCAGCACTTTTGGAAACAATGGTCATCCAATTATCTCTCCCAATTGCAAGGACATTCAAAATGGCTAAAGAACAAACCAAACTTAAATACCAATAACTTGGTGCTGGTAAAAGATGATAACTTGCCACCTTTAAGGTGGTGTCTAGGTAAAGTAATTAATGTTTACCCAGGATCTGATGGAAAAGTGCGAGTAGTAGACTTAAAAACTATCAATGGTGTAATTAAACATCCTATCAACAAACTCGCACCGTTTCCATTTTGCCATCGTAAAAATTAATGACTCTTAAAAAGTTTTATTCTTACTTTTACATATAATTCATTGTATTTGTATTTTAGTTTCATTTTAGTTTTGTAGTAATGTTTTGTGTCTAAGTATAGTAAGTATCTTAATAAGTTTCTCTTTCAGCTTACAGTGATTTTGAAATTCATATTTTAACTTTAAATTTAACTTGTCATATAATATTTTTTGAAAATATTGTTAGTATTGAATATTGTATTAAAATAATTCTAAATTTGAAGCTTGTGATAAACAGTTGTTCATTGTGGGCCAGTATGTTATTAAGTGAAATACTATAGGTGGTGCTGACGCACCAAAAGAGTTAGTTAATTCTTGTAACTCATTGTGAGCAGATGCATATCTTGAAGCGTCAAAAGGGCTAAAACCTGTAGCCCTACTCTTGAATATGTATATAGTATTAGTGGAGTGTATTGTGTTTAATCATCGTAATAAATGTTGTGTGTGAACTTCGCTTAATCCTTGAAAAGTTACCGACCACAAAAGCATCTTGTAACTACACCTCTGGATACTCCTTTCATGATTGCTCACCTACAAACTTAGTACTATATGGTTTATTGAAGTAAGCAAAATTAAATGCAAATATTAACTGCTTGAATCTTCATATAAAAATCTACAACTAACTGTCTACAGTAGATTGAGACAACTCAGTTCAAATGAAATTTAATGAGAAAAATTTAATAAGATTAATTAAAAATATGAGAATAAATACTATTCGCATGAAACAGAATTCAACAACAACACAGGATATTATGAAAATCATTATAGGTAGGGGAATGGAATTACTGTATATGCATTAAGGTTATCTTGTACTTCTACACACATTTAATGTACAACTTGATGGAAATAAAGACATGATTTACAAAAATACAAGCTGGGGCAGACATTGCTATGCAGATACCTACCTCTAATATTTTCAACATATTAAATGTTGAAAATGTTCAGAGTGAGAAATAAATGCTGCATTTAACATTTATAAAGTTACTGAAATAAAAAGGACTTTTCATTGTTTTGTATATTTGGTTTCACGATTTTACTTTAACATGTTGTATAAAATATTAAAAAAAAATTAAGGAGGATCTTATTTTATTTCTGATAGAAAAACCAAAAAAAGACGGGGTGGCAACAGATTCAATTTTTACTTATTACAAACCATACTTAAAGTATAGTTATATGACAAATTAAACTGCTCGTCATATAAATAATCAAATAAATAAAATGTAGAATTTAAGAAGTTACTTTTTTTTCTTAATTATGGAGAAAATAATTTTTTTGATGGGTCATTCCATGTTATTTATGTCAGAGCATCTTAAAAATTAATTTTGGAATTGTTTAGAAAATTATTACCATCTTGTTTTTATAAATCATAATAATAATTTATAATCTATAATTTATAATGAAAAAGACTACGATTCTCTTTCACGCTTCCTCAGAAATTAAATAATCATTAATCCAAATTTTAAAAATGCTTCAGTAACTTGAAACTCTAATAAAAATAATTCATTTATAAAAGGAAGTTATGAAGTTAGATAAAAAAAAGTTTAACATTTTGTTTCTATTTCTAATATTATATTTTTAACACTTAAATTTGAAATATATATACGATTTTACATATTTTAAATAATGAAGGAGATTTAGAGGCCTTTTGAAAATGAAAGCATATGCCATATGCTCTACTGGAAATCAGGTCTTAATGAGGATGAAAATTATGATGCATGAATTAGATAAGTAACTGTTTATAGAATTTAAAGCACATGGTTTCATAATCGCATGCTAGCTGATAATCAATACATTAAATCCTGTTTATAGATATTATGACACATATGCTGACAACACTTCCTGTTTCAACCAAATGTTATTATGACACAGAGGTTGATAAATACTTCCTATTTCATTATTTTTTAGACAGATTTTTCTCCATATAGTGTAACATCTGACCTGGATAATAATAATGAAGCATCTTTTAATTTTACTTCAGGTATTAAACACTCACTACATTAATGTAGTTTTGATTTAAATGAGCTTTTTATAGAAGCTATGACATCACTATCAAATAAAATACTGATTACTTGGTATTAATAAAATATAGTATTTCAATGCACTATGTTCCTATAATTTTTATCATTTATTAAAAAAAGAAACTATAAATACATAAACTGCATTTCTCAAAATTTTTAATTAATTTCTAAATAAAGTTTTTTTTTCAAAAAATAAATAAATAAATAAATAAAATGAAGAAGAAGAAAAGAAAATCATAGAAGTATCACCCTGCTGCATAGCTGATAGTCTTAGCAAGCCCATTTCCAGAACCACCAGGCACAACACCAACTGGAATTTTAACTGCTTTCTTCCAATCTGGACGAGTCATTAAAGCATTAAATACCTAAAAGTGAACAGTTTAAAAATCCACTTATAACATTATTTCATACAGACATAAAATGTTTAAAATTCTACAAATCTAAAGCTAAACATCATATATAAGACATCTGAAAAAGATGTCACTGAATTTTATTTTTACAAATATTAATCCCAGACATATATTTCTGATTACAAGAAAATATCAAAATATGGTGCAAACCTCCTGAAAATAATTTCATTACTATGAATAAAGGCAGGGTCTGTTAAAAAAACTTAAATGATTTATATACATCACAGATGGCAAGAACAATGCTAATGCATTATTCCATAAGAATGAAAATGCATATCCATTTATCTAGAATGACAATTTTAGAAACTATAACTTCTGATATAAACAATAGGTGCTAAATGTTTTATAGAAATATTTGTATTGCAGACAATTTGAAACAAGCACCTACATGCTCTTCCCCCCGTCTCCCTAGAAAAAAGTTATGCTCTGCATACAATATCTTTTCGTTTTTCTTTATGCAATATGAATAAAAATCCAATTACTGAAAGTGTGAGGTCCTCTTACATATCCTTTGACTAAAGATATAAGCATTCTTTTATCTTAGAACAATAGGTGATTAATTCTTTCATTCTATGAAGGGATAACTTACCTCAAATAATAAACCATCTCCAGAGACCACCACAATTCCATCCCATTGTGACAAGTCAGCTTGCTTAACATAATCTCTTGCACAATTGGCACGATCTAAGCATACAAAAAAAAAAAAAAAAAAAAAAAAAAAAGACTGAAATTATAATTTTTTTGCTTTTAAAGATGGCTCTCTAAGGCAAAAAATACATGCAGCACATATATCTATCTCTACACATATGATTACACAAAGAAACCCATTACTATTATATCTTGATTAGAAATCAATCCTTTTATAAATGAGGAGTAATTTACAAATTAATTTTTATTTTATTACAAATTCCAAAACATAAGGAGAATTTGTGCATACAATCAAAACTGAGATAAGAAATTGAAAATTTTAAAATGCAATATTTTAACACATTTTGTACAATCTTAAAATAATATTAAACTCCCAATATAGTTAAGCTACAGTTTTCTAAATTTCACAAATAGGCAACAAATATAAGTATTATACATTATTGTTTCTTGCTTTTTACGAATAGAGAATGTTTGTTAAATTCAAACAATATTATACATAAGTTATCAGTCTGAATAGCTACACTTAAAAAGTAAAATGAGAGCACAAATCAAGCACTATTTTCCAATAAAAACATTTAAACGTAAATTATATTCTTTAAAGCTTTTTAGGGATGCTTTGGAACTGAAGGACATACACCCTCAGTAATGCATCTAATTTAAACAATAATATTTTATAAGACTTCTGCAAATGCGTTTAAGTCATTTACAATGTAAAATGATAAAAAAGAAAAAAAATCTATCTATATAACACAAAAAATTAACCTTCATATAATTACAGTAAGAGGATTATATTTTTACAGCGAACCTAATTATTTGCTGGTAGCGCTCTGACTATTTCAAATGAATTAAATTTACAACTCTTAATTATTAATTTAAAATAATTATTTAATAATATAATATATAGTAAATAATAACTGACTTTATTAATTGACATAATTAAACATTATTAAAAGAATCATAATGACTAAAATTACAGTCTTTTTACTGAATGAAAAATTATTTGAATTATCTAAACTAAATTACACTAATTTATAACTACAAACTTTTTTAAATAATTCATTTATAATGTAAAAAGCAGCATATTGTCATTTATAATATAAAAAGCTATAAAAAATCTACCTATATGATTAAAAAAACTGCTTCTATTACAACTGTATCAAATGGATTAAAATATTGAATTACATCCTCTTACTGCAGGAAATTTTTCAAGTTGTTAGCAATATTCTGACAGTTTCAAATAAATTAAATATACAATTCTAATTGGTATTTTAAAAATATTTAACCCTACAGTTTAAACAATTATTTATTTTATTAACTGACATTAATAATTATAACATTGTTAAATAAATGATGTCTTAAGGGATTAAAATAGACGTTTAATTCAACAAACACGACATGAATAATCAGAAATAAATCATAACTAATTTATTTTTGAAATTTCATAAATAAACTATAAGTATCCTTATAATTTTTAAAAATAGCTACAGTAACATTATAAACTTACATAACTCTTAAAATATAAAGATATCCAATGTGGACACCACATGATTTCCTTGTACGTCCTATTTTTACACCATTTTATTTAAACTCACATTCAATTAATTCAGTTTTTTACTTCGTGGCAAGACAAAAATACATAAAAACACAAAGCATCTTCATTAAAAATTGTAAAATACCGAAAAACATAAAACCCCAAAATACAGATAAAAGCAGTTAAAAAAAAACAATTAAAATTAGAGTTATGCAAAATCAAGGAATTTGGTGGAAGACAAGATTTTTCAGTGCACAAAATGTAAAGTTTACTTTTGGTATCACTCGGCAAAAAGACACTGAAGTCTGTGCAACAAAATATGCAATTTACCAACATATAAGAATAACACGGGTAACACAGGGGGTGTGTGTATATATAAGTAAATATTAGACTGGAATCAAAGCAAGGCAGTCCCTCAACAATATTAATAATTGCAACCATGTATAAGAGGTTTAAATTGTTTTTTTTTTTTAAATTTGCATCCTATTAATATATTTCTTTATATATATACAGTCAAAAGTCGTTAATTCGGACACCCATAATCCGGAATGATCTATAATCCGGACCTCAAAGCTACAAACTTTCTGCGCATGCGTCGCGTTTACGCATGCGCACAGGCGTTTACGAGAGCGCGTAAGACTCTTACGGCTGCGAATATGTTTGTGCGCATGCGCGTTTAATGTGTAACGAAGTAATACGCTAAGCTAAAGTTATCTAATTCAGTTAATGTTGCAGATTGCGTTGTTCCTTAATCTTCGAATTGGATCCGGCTTATTATTTTTTGCAGACTGTTAGAGCAATTTTATAAAAGTAAGCTTGAACTTTCGATTATGTCAAATTGAATTTCCGATATATATTTACTACAAAGCGAAAGTATGTTTTTGAAATCCGAAATCTGTTTTATCAATTTCACGCTGCTCTGCGGCAGAGGGGGGGGGCAAGAAAAACGTCATTATTAAATTATGATTGATTAGAAAGATTATGTCAAATAGAATTTCCGATATATATTTACTAATATGTAATTTTGTATCTACAAAGCGAAAGTATGTTTTTGAAATCCGAAATCTGTTTATCAATTTCCCGCCGCGGATTGGAAGTTGATCTGTCAGCACTATCCTTATCTTCAGGGCAGATGTTTTTATTTTATTTGGTTTATAATTCCGTACTAAGTGTAGTATTTCATCTCCGTCTTTGATATGATTTAAATCAAGTTCCTCGTCATTATAATTTCGCTTCCGATAGTGAAGAAAGTGACCCAGAGGTTATTGAAAACGAAAACATTTCGATTGACAAATTAGTCGGTATTCTCAACACAGCAATTATAGGACTTGGACAGCGGAACTTTGTAACTAAACAAGAAATTATGTCTGTTTAATAGAATTAAAGAGAAAGTATTATCACATGAAACGAAGCAACTTACGTTGAAGGAAATGTTTAATAAAGTAAACAAGTAAATATTAAGCTTTTTCTTTTTGTAAATTTTGATACCCTTTAGTTCATAATTGTTCTTTATTTCATAAATTACGGTTTTATATTTTTAATTTTGTAATTTCTGCATGCCATCTTACCAGATTTAAACTGATGATCTATAATCCGGAAAAATCGATAATCCGGAATCGCCGAAGTCCCGACGAGTCCGGATTAACGACTTTTGACTGTATACATACTTAGTTCAAAAACAAGTTTTTCTAATACTTGTGCAATAGCTGCAAAGTAAGATAATAATAATTTATTTACTAAAGGAATATTGATTATATTATCTCCTAATAAATTTAGTAGAAGTATCTAAAAAGAGGGAGCCCATATGTAGGAAGTTTAATTCCGAAAATTGTATTTTAAAGTAACTTGTATGTAAATTGTTAAAATGTTTTACGGGGACTTGAATTTAAAACATGAATAAAATTTCAATCTTTGAAACAGAAATTAAATTAATAGCAAGTAATTATCGCTATTGATTGGAAATTACAAACCAACTCCCTTCCAATGAACAATAATTAATAAATGCGAAGGTGTTTCGTCTTTTACGCAAGTAAGAATGGTGATGACAATCTGGCATACTTTTGGTAAAGCCAATTGCAACCAAAAATACATGTTATAGCAATCCTATATACAAAATTTCGAAGCTACTTTTTTTTTTAGTTATGCTAAATACATACATACACATCTAATATACATACGTACACATGACAGGAAAAAAAAAACTCTTTTGAAATCATTTTATCATCTGGTTTGGAAGTACTTTATTCCATCCATAAGTGCACATGTTGCAAAAAAGCATCATTCAAATGGATTTGAAAGCAGTCAAACTGATATTTTCGTTGAAATTCAAACTTCTAAAGTAATAAGCTTAATACTTCAGCAAACATACTGCATTTTAAACATTTTTTTATCATCATTACTCATTATTTATAAATTATTTTAAATTCATTATTTAAAAGTATTATTATTCATTAATATTATTAAATCTATCTTTCTTTCTTTTTTAAACATTATTATTCTTTCAAAAATTCAATTCATCAATAAATTTTCATAATTTATTTCTGTTTTATGTCAAAATTGTATGACAACTTGATGTGGAAATAATGATAATTAGTTTGTACTTTTCTTAGCTATTAATCTCTTAAATACGTTTTCAAGCTTCTGGTGTTTCTGTTTATATGGATCTCTCTGTATATCAACTAAGCAAATAATAATGAATAATTTTATATAAATTCTGCCTAAAATTACACTATATAGGAAAACAATGTTTATCATAACAGACATGCTCAATTTTTTTTCAGACAATAATATAGTTAAAAAAAGGCAGCAATTATTTAGAATAAAATTAAAGTTCTGATAATATAGTTAAAAAAAGGCAGCAATTATTTAGAATAAAATTAAAGTTCTGATAATGATAAAAGAAAAAAATAAAGTGAAGCAACAAATCAGATAATCATATTTCATCATCAACAAATTATACTAGATATGGAGGAATTTACTATCTGTAAAAGTTCAGGGTGAAATCTCAAGCAAGGTGATAGAAGGTTTACCACTGCATAATTACAACAGTGCAACTGATAAAATCAGAAGTTTTAATGAAGAAAAACAACATAAAACCAGATAACATGAACACAAAAGATAATCTTACATAAAATAAAGTTTAATGTAATATAATTCTAAATCTTGTTTGAAGAAAAGAAGTTATCAGTATCAAAATAAAATTTTAATGAAAATAAAATAAATATTGTACATTCATTAATAAAATATTGTACATTTAACACAGTTATATGAATTATATATATTAATCAATACAGTTTAGGAAATAAATTATTATAATTAAACAGGATTATAATTAAAGGGGAATAATCCTATTAAAATTCTTATATTTTGTATTAAATTAAGAAAGCTAATAAAGTAAAAGAATTTCAAATTTGAAGTCTATATACATTAAAAATTACAAATTGGAAATATTTTAAGTAATATTAAATTTTTTTAAATTTTAAAAAGTTTTGAAAAGAATTTGTAAATTGGAAAGTATT